CTTGTGTGCATTTGTGTGTGTGTGTGTGTGTGTGTGTGTTTGTGAGTGTGTAGATGAGCGTCTTCCAAACGGCTAAAATCATTTAACGCTCTCAAAGGAGGCAGGTGAGACGGCATATTTCATCTATATCTGTATGTGTGTGTGTGTGTATGTGTGTTGGGGTTTAAACATGATCATTTTCAGTTGATCTCGACCCTACAAGTTGTGCCGACGCTCTCGTATCTGCTTTGACGCAGACAAGACTCGAAGGGCATGTCTGATGAAGTCTTGAATGCGTCTCTTCTTCAACTTCCCATTTTCTCGTATCTCCCAGTCTCGTCTACTTTCCCTTTTTCATCATACATGTTTGTCTGTATGTATGTGTGTGTGTGTGTGTGTGTGTGCATTGATGTCTTTTCATCAAACGGAGGAATTACAGCCTCGTTGGCTTTATCAACAAATTTGCCAAATAAGCAATAATGCCCATCCCGTTGACAGTGAAGCGCAATCCCTCGCGATAACCCATACGACCAGTTGAGGGGGGATCGGGACAATCCGTCCTGACAGTGTCAGCAGATCAGTTTGGCAAATCGAAGCTGTGCGGACGAGGATGGCGAGTCGTTGTCGTTTCTCTCGCAGACGCCTTTATCTGCATTTGCGCGATTTCGTCGGAACATACCAATTCATGCGTCATCCGCCAATTTGTCAACATGCCACGACTGAATTGGTACATTTCTGCACACATCACCGGCATTCTAGCCAGCCTGCAAAGTGTCCATTTAACATTTATCAAAGTGTACAGAGATGGCGGGAAAAAGGAGAAAAAACAATTATTATTCTTTACTAGAACGGATATTGTGTACTGTCGTGAGATCCCACATTTGAGCTCACACACAAGACGACGCTCGATTCTGGTTGTTCTGCAGGCGTGTTTGCTTTCATGCGACATACAAATTGACGCAAGTCCCCGAAGCACGATCTCATTCTTGCAAAAGTCTCCGTCTTTATCCGAAATGCTATTTAAGTATTCATACATGAAAAACGGGAACATTATAGATACAGATATAGAATTAATTGATTAGTTCTCTTTTATGTTGTTCGCGGTACATTTACTTGAATGTGTTGCGATGCAGTTGACAAATGTCAACATACACACACACACACACACACACAGTCTCAATTTAAAGTCCACTACCGGTAAAAGAGAAAACTGGCCAAATCATTATACATCTGGACATTTTTATTGTTTTATTTAAGATTAACGCTAATATTGACTAGAGAATCTTGTAAAAATGACTTCCAGCTCCGAGGATGTCGGCCAAGTTGCATGAGGGAGGAAAGTTCAATCAGTTTTTTTTCCCAAAGCGAAGAAGGATATCTCGTCAAACCCGGCGATTGTATCAACGCACAACACGGCAACAGAACAACCGGAATTGGCCGTCGTTCTCTGATGACATCGTCCAAAGGAATTCTTCATCAGACACACTTACATACCAAATAGAGTCTTCTCAGCTATTCTTAAACATTTACAACGAAATGGATGTAGCCTGCGATTTGTCTTTTGTCCCTTTTCAACGTACCAGATTGGTTTGACCACAATGCCGGCAATGTACCAGGCGAGCGGTGGGCCACTGTCGATTTCGGTATGATTCACACAATCGCCGTACAGCTCCGAACAAATTTCACACAAAGTGACGACTGGGCGTCATCTTAGTTCCACGACCTCTTCAGTTCAGAGCTCGTCAGTTTGACAATATCGGTTCAACAAATCGGTCAAACAATGAAGTTGAATATGATCGAGTTGAACGGCAACCTCATTCTGTCGTCTTTCAGGCTGGTCAGAATGTGTTTTTTTTCACCATCACGATGGGATTTTTGCACCGAAACTCGTGGCAACGTTAACACTCGTCTACGCGGCTGATAGAGCCAGGTGTGATTAAATTCATTATGAAAAATTATGTATCGCATCGAGGACTACTCACCTTGAAAATAAGTAGTATCGTCAATTGGGATGATAAATATTGGTTGGCCTCATCAAAAAAGAGCTTTTTTTTTATCAATTACGACATTGCGTGTTTAAGATGTCTGTGAAATGGTAGACACGGAGAGTAAATTGGTTTCGACGAATCTCTTGAAGTAATATTGCTGGAGAGACTTGCAATGTCAAACTGTAGATAAAAAGCCAATTTTGCTCAGCTCTCCGATGCGGCCAATTGACACATTTCCTCCTGTCAACGTGTCCATCTGCGAACTGTAAAGTGGACGCACAACAGGTCACAAAATGAGGCCTCGAAACTCACATTTTCCTTGCATTTCGAGTGAAAATGTTTGCTGAATAGATTCCAAGGTCGATTCCACCAGAAGACCACGACGGATTCCTCGTGGCCAGTTGTCGATTGGCTTTATCGAAACATTCTTGTCGACGCCGTTGCCGAGGTGACCTCCTTTGATTCCGGTGAAAGAAGAAAAGACTCATTAGCTTGCATTTGTTTGCAAAGAGGATGTTCGTGAAACGATGGACGAACGCTCGGCACCTGTGCCCGGAATCGAAAGAGCTGGCGAAGCCGAGCTGCAATCTCAACAAACATGAAAGAAGAGATTTTTGTCGAAACCCAACTTTTCAGCGCATGTACCACCTTTTCTTGTCGTGCCAGAAGTAGCGAAACCAGCAAAACTTGTGGCAAGCAAGCCTCGCCAAATCCTCTTTCGAGTCTGCTTCAACCGACGCCTCGTTTCGTCTGTCCCGCAGCGACGGACCTCTTCACTCGCCGCATGTACAGTTTTTACTTGCTCCGTTTGCCGTGTCCACACCAGCTCCCACTCCCCTCCTGCCCGCCCCGTCAAACACACGCACTGGCGGCACAAAAGGACATCTTCGCACATCGTGTACCCCCAAACGCGTATCCACGCGTCTTGTTGGCCTGTCGAGGCCGGCCAGATGGGCCCCTACGGGGGACATTGGTTCCGGCCACGCGGACAGGACTCGAGCCTTCACGCGGCTTCATTAACGGATCTGTTCCGACGACACCGTCTCCGGCA